ATAAGAAGGTATTCTTCAGTGCCTTGCATAGTCTATTCTCCAGTATCTCCGTCAATCTATCTGTCTTGAATCCAATGTTCACAATGTATCTTTTCTGGAACCATAAGGGCTCTTTCTTTGAAATTCTTAGGCCTCATATTCATCTCAGTGCATCTTGAAGGATAACCATTCCCAATTTAACACTCTTCAACGTGATTCCAACTCCTTATTTACTGAATCAAGGTGATGATGATAAATGTGTCATCCATTTATCCGTTACATAGATGGAACTGGTAGATCAACAGACGTAGTTTACTATTCTCCAGATTTCTTCTTGACGAAGCCATTAACTTAGCTGTACATGCGTTAGTATATGTTATGGTGAATAGAACATTCCAGAACTATTTCCAGCCAGGGGTCATAATATATTGAGTAACAAAGGGTGGTTAAATAATACACATGGAATTTCACAGTAGGAAAATAAACCAGGGGTTAAGTTAATAAAAAATGCAATTACGCAATACAGGATAAGTCTACTACGGTTAAGGTTTTGTCATAACCACTGTAAAACCGAAGGATGAACATACCGTTTTTTGATACATTTCTCTGATTTGAACTTCTGAATGGCTTTTGCTTTAGGTATACTCCCTTCAAGTGATTTAATCGAACGTTGTGAACGATTTTGAATGAGTTTTGAACAGCTGCGAAGTGATCTGATTTCATAAGGTGTTCTGTTAATAAGCTGAAGATTTTTCTGAAAGTTCCACTGTGTATGTCACAGCATCTTTAGAAAGATATCGGGATTGTTAGTTGCTTGGAGACAATCGGCATGAAGCCCTGCTTGACCCAGGTTTCGTACTTCCTGGTACTTGTCAGCAAGGTGTATTGTGTATTGCACATAAGTAGATATTAGTTGGTTGGAGGCAATGGGCAGGAAGCCAAGATAACACGAAATTGGTTGCTCTCCTATGACCAGTAAATACATGTAACCCAGTCCTACAGGAGGTCAGTCGCGGCCCAGATAGCTTAGTCGTGAAGTTGCTGATGACAACACTGGGTGACGTGGATTCGAATATCAGGTGGTGCATCAGTTCCGTTGAGGTTACAGTCTCAAAAGGTAAGAAACCTAGGTCAGGTAGGGTTTCCTCCTGATTGCCTCTAACCAATTAACCTCTACTAATGTGCACCGCAATGCTGAGGCCCCCAGCTTGGTGGCCACATTGCATATGTGATCGGTAGGATTCGGTCTGCATTCAGCACTAGACAACATGAAATTAGTTGCACTCTCGTGACCACAGATTTTGTTGAGGATACTAGAAGATTAGATTTCAAACTGATAGACCAGTTTACTAGCCTCCTTCACACATTCTATTTAGAGGATTCTAAGACATGCGTTATACCTAATCGCTTCATATAGTGTTCATACAGAATACACAACAGATGTGGATTGGTAATTATTGATTTTGGCTAAACGATAAGCATTCATTCAACTGTAGAGCATTTCTCTCTATCAAAAAAATTGTTGCATAATAAACTTAATAATCGTTCACAAATATGAGTGCATGTCTATAAGTGTGTCAGTCAGTGGATAGAATAAAGCAAGGTGAGTAGGAAGTTCTATTATGTCTCATATGTTCATATTTACCTGAGAGATACATTTAGGAGTTTGTGGTGGGTGACTATATGACTTGACTTTTCATCATGGATTGAGATCAGTTGCAGGAATATTGTAAACCTGGGAGCACTAGGCAGCTGTTTCGTCCTAGTATAGGACTCATTAGCGGTGCGATCCTGGTGGCCGTGAGGGAAAATGCTCAACAATGATACTGGGTGGTGGTCGCACAGTAGCTCAATGGTAACGTGCTAGCCACGGAACCTGGAGGTCTCGGGTTCGAGCCCTGGAGGGCAGGGTTGTGGGGCCGCACTACTGAGGAGTCCTAAACGGTTGATAAGAAACCACAAGACCAAATGAGGGTCACAGGAAGAGACCAACTTTCATAGTGTGAACATTCATGAATTATCAACCTCTTGTACAAGTCTCTTGACAGATAATACCTATCTAATCATGATCTACCTCCTTCACCTCTGTCTTTTCTTTACTATTCATTACTTTTTCCTATTAACTTCGAAATAAAGTTTTTAGATTTTTGAAATTCTATCCCTATGACTGCTGCAATCAATTTAAGTTATCGAAACGCTGTTCATGAATTCTTTAGTCTAAGCTGTTTATTTCGAACTCGAGCTTCTAACGTCTGAACCTTAAAAGGTAACGAATTAACGGGTTTCATTCGTCAAAACTCTGAAATTATGAGCCAGATATGTAACATGCATAACTCAGTTAGGCTGACAGAATCCAGATGTGATTGGTGTATGATCCCATCTAGAAAGTTAGGAGAATGTGTAAAATCCAGCTGGATGATTGGTGTGAAAATACGGTTAAGTAGGCAACATTGCATTCTAGAATATGCAGCTAACTACCCCCCATCGAATCTCATTTGGAAGTCACTCAAAATCGTTTTGGTTGGATTAATACATGGGCAGCAGGAGAGACTATGCCTATGCCTTCAACACCTTTGGTTCAGATGAGGGTTAAGCTGAAGAAACTAATTTTACTGTGGATGACAAAACGTTCAAATATACCCACTTTACTGGATGACTTCAGCGTTTGAATAGACATAAACTTGTTAGTGGTGATGTTTCTTTCTAAACCAAAGGCATCCACCACTGACTATCTGTTTGGGTGGTTTAATCGTAAAACTTCATTGTCTTCCCAGATAATGAATAATCAACACTAAACTGGTCAAAGTGGTCGACCTCTTCGCCTTCACCTGAGTGAACATTGGTTGGCTAATGAAGATCACGACATTTCTTCTTTTTTCCCAGCACACATAGACAACTGTAGACATTGATTCAACTTTGTAAATATGAAAGTCATGGATCCAATCAGTCAACCAGTAAGCAACAAGGTAAACAGTTATGCCAGACGTCAGGTAGAGAAACAGCCAATAGGAAAATCTACGCAATCAATGACAACAATCAAGGATAACAACCAATCACAAATCACTTCGTCTGGACACTCATTGAATAATCCTGATAAATTACTTCTTCTTCCTCAAGTATATACTGACTCCGTCCCGGTTAAATCATTCACGTCAAAGAACGCAACATAACCAAGTTCGTCTTCTTGACTGTAAATAGTTTACACCACCTTGGATCTTCTGGTCTACTTATAGTGTCCAAAAGAAATTAGAATACTGTTAGGTAAATTTGAAGAGAAAGTAAGGAATCCTATAAAGGCTTTGAACCAAAATCTTAGAGTATTTGGCAAAAAATAGAGAGCAAAGTAGTTAAATACATCGTCCAATTCACTTCTTCGGAAGGTTACATCATTATCATATGTCAAGATATGTCTGTTTGGCATTTTCAACTTAAATTATCTTTGAAGCCTGTAAGATATTTAGCTCCCTATTGAAGAAAGACTATATTGCGTAGCGCTCTAGTTTGTTTTATCTAAAGACTATAAACATTAAACGGTCACAGGAGTTTTAGATGTTTTAATCACGTGTCCAAGCACATATTCCCGCATGTGGTGGGACTATAGATGAGCAGTTAAGGTAGTCAATCAACAAGTTTATGAACATTCTTCGACTGACGTTGTCGTGGAAATATGCACCATGGTTTGCAACTCATTCATTCCTTTATATGTTATGTAACCTTTAATGAGCATTAGAAGTTCAGTTTCTTATATCCTTTATAACTTTGTTCAATTCTTAAATATACTATCTTATACAGCATTAGCCAATGTAAATAATTCATACTAGACTATATCATGTGTGCTATTACGTAGATATAAGCAAGGAGTAAGTAGAACGAAGCATCACTTCACTCACAGTTATCTCCAGTGATCAATTAATGAACCTAATCCAGTCCTACAGGATGTCAATTGCTCTCAGAAAAGCCTATTGTTAAGGTCTTTGGATAAAGCACTAGGTGACACGAGTTTTTATCTCCAGGGGGACATCAGTTTCATCAAGGCGACATGTACACTTTGTTGACGAGTCCCAACAATCATGAAACCCTAAAAGAGTAGGACTTCCTGTCAATTAGCTCATGCTAACCAACAACTATGATTTTCTATTAATTATCTACAACATATCAATTTCAGGAGGGTAGATGTAAATGTAATCTTTCCATCTTTCTAGTATTTAGGCAAAAGATCGCTGGATGTAGTTAAAACATGGGATAAATGACAGATACTCATATTATCCTATTACTAAACTTATTGTTGTCCTGAAAATTTTTCTTTGTGTATTCATATTTTGCATTAAGTGTAATGAAAAATGAGTTTCACATAGGGTTTCAATTCATCAGTGAAAAAGTAAACACCACTTTACACCTTTTACAATTAATGGATGACAAACTTTATATATATATATATATAAAAACATTGATTGGTAGTATAAATAAAAATTTACAGATTTTTCCAATACTTTAAAATGCAGTATAACGATTGAAATGAATAAATATTTTCGTGATAAAAGAAAATGAATCCGTACTTATAATAGAAGAGATGTTTTGAGTTGAGATATGATCGGCGCATGTAATACAAATAAAAAGAAAAAAAATAAACTAAAATGTCACGGAGGTTGACTGATTGATACTAACAAATACTTTGCTTCAAATTCATTGAATACTTCTAAGATGGTCATTTAAAAATGCGAATTCCGTAAAGATGACCTAAAATTTACTACATAAGGCAACTTTTTGGTGTTATACATCAGCCTACTTATATAGGATAATCAGTAGCAAAATAATTCACTGGTAAATAAATGATTGGTGAAAGTTTACTGTTTTATGTTTCACCTTATCAAATGTATACTTTTGAGAGATAAATAAAACAGTTACACTTAAAATGTATACTGAGGATAAATAGAAAGAAAATCCTAAATTTTTAATGAAAATGATTCAAAAAAATGATAAATTTCTGATTGATTGATTGAATAAAAAAAACTGTTGATTATTTAAACTTCAGGAGGTGGTATTTTATACAAGTAGGAGATTTCTTCTGACTTCATGCAAATATCACTATTTGTTCCTGTTGTTACTAACATGTCATTTGAATTTCTAGGAATTACAACATCATCTGTAACATCTGAACCATCACCAATCATTTCATCAATGACACCAACCATTTGAATAGAATCTTGATTGAATATATTTTGTTTATCAACAGAAAAGGTATGATCATCTGAATGATCATTAGTTAGTTTTTGTGTTGAGCCATTATTCTGAAGGTATTCTACATGTTGTGTAGCCATACCAAAACTATCACTCCTTTTGTAGTTAAATGATGATCGATTCCTTTCATATGAATTCTCTTCATTGATTTCATAGGATTGATTAAGAAGTAAAGGAGAGTTGACTAATGGTTTAGTTACAGATACAGAGTTGATACGATTATTAAGTAACATCATTGGCGGTACATGTACAGCAAATCCATCATAATCTTCAATGGCTGAATAAGTGTTACAATTGTTTGAACAATAAGTAAAATTTGGTTGGTGTAACCTATCCTCTTGTGTATCTATACATTGTTTATTAGCTATAGTATTGCCTTCACATAACAAAATACTTTTCTGAAACTTTTGAGAAATATCTTTACTTTGCTCCATTTGAGGACTATGATGTATAAAACTTTCATACATTTGAGTATTTTTAGATATTGACTTAGGACTATACTGATGAATTAAGTTATTATTCCTTGATATATCTGATAAACGTGGAATTGAATATGAATCTAAGCTTATATCTTTTTCATTTATTGAATTGTATACAATTTCACTTAATCGATTGTTTAATTCTTTATTAATTTGATAACATGAATCAATTTGTCCTTTAGCTTGTCGATATTCTGATATATCTGCACCACTACTCATTCCACTTAAACTTCCACCACTTGTACAAACACAATTATTATCTGGAATCATTGTACTTGTTAAGTTATACTTCAGTTTTATTGATTTATCCCTAGATTGATTACCTGTTATACTATTACCAATATCATGGATAACACCGTTAAAACTTTCATCAGCTGAACGATAACCAGTTGTTGGTGTTTGTTTTTGTTGACTGTTAACATCTAATTTATATTTTATAGGAAAATAACCTATTCCAGTATTATTATTATTATTATTATTATTATTATTTATTTCTTGAGATAAACTATTCATTTCAATACCAGAAGCAACACCTTCATCACTACATCCTTCAACTGTTCCAACAGATCCAAGACCACTAGTATAATCTTTAGGATATAATTGACTATCAAGATGATTATTTATAGGCCATAATAAACATTGATTAATATTTTCTGAATTATAATAGGCTATTTTATATTGATGATTAGAATGAATTGATTGATTTTCATTAGATTTATTCCAATTATCTTGTATTGTTGATATATTATAATTTATTGAATAATTTGTTAAACCTGAAAGATTATTAATAGGTGATAAATTGGTTGAATAAGTATACTGTGAAATATGTTGATCTCTGCTTGAAGATAATGATTCAGAACATATAAAATATGGATTAATTGTTGTATCTATAATCATAGAGTGTTTACCATTATTATTACTATTATTATTACTATTATTATTATTATTATTAGTAATAAATGTAGCACTTTTATTACTATTTATACTGTTACAAATTTCTTCAGAATTTAATTGTATACGATTCTTTAAACATTCTGATGATGACTTACTTATTCTATCAATTTCAGGTATAATAATTGATTGTATCGATTGATTTTCAGTTGATGAAATCAATTGAGATAATATTAATTGATCATTATTAATAAGTCTTCTTGTATTATCATTTATTTTTTTATTGAAATTATTATTATTATTATTATGATTATAACCTGGAAGAGCATTCAATTGACTTTTATCATCAAGTTTTGTTTGTTTGAGGTGTTTTTTACGAAAAATAATTATAATACAACATATAATCATTAATATAATTATTATTAAACATCCAATAATAATCAATATATAAGTTATTATTGGAACTGATTGATTAGTAGAGTTATTTGATTTTAAAGAATTATCTGTATTACTTATTGTTAATAATGTATTGAATTGAAGTAATGATCCAGTGTTTGATCCAACTATATGATGATTCTATAAAAACCAAAACAAAAAAAAGGTACATGAGTGTTGATAGATGTTTTCATTTAGTTAACAACTTATACACAGAAATGATTAATTCATGTACAGAAAAGTGTTAAGTAAGTCGCATCATCCTGAAGGCGTTCATTAGCCTGAAACCAGTGTGAACCAAGAACCTATCACCCAACAACTCTGCAGTAGAAGGAAGTGGAGATGGATTGGGCATGCACTGAGAAGATCGACTGGGGACATCATGCGCCGCGCCAGTCACTCGAGTGGAACCCAGATAGGAAGTGACGAGTTGGGCGTCTGAGGCGAAGGTGATCGTGCAAGGAGGAAATGAGAGCTTCTGGGCTGTCGTGGAACCACGTTCAAAAGATCTCAGAGAATAGAGGTCACTGGAGACGTGCTACTGAAGCCCTATGTTCCACTAGGAACCCAAGGGACTAACAATAATAATAAGCGAAACGAAAATTTCATAGATAACCAAGTAGTATATTTCTGAGAAACGTGTCATCTAGACACAATACAAGTTACTATACATTAGAGTTAATTAGTTAACTTCAGAAAACATAAACATTTCACTTTGATTATTATTATTTATCCCTTGGATTCCTAGTGGAATATAGGGATTCAGTAGCACGTCTCCATTCCACTCACGTCTCTGAAACCTTTTGAACCTCGCTCTACGACAGCCCATAAGCTCTCATTTCCTCCCCGCACGATCACCTTCGCCTCGGACGCCCAACTCGTCGCTTCTTATCTGGATTCCACTCCAGTGACTGGCCCAACGCGTGATGTACCCAGACGGTATTCTCAGTGTATGCCCAATCCAATCCATCTCCACTTCCTTCCACTGCATATTTGTTCAGCGATAGGTCCTCGCCTAGTTGGTTGGTTGCCAGAGTGAATTCCTTGTTGCTTATTCTTTCTAGCCATCTGATCTTCAGTATCGGGTGAGCGTAGGTGGCAGTTGTTGATGAATGTCTGTAGTTTGTTGGAAATCCCTTTCGTAACATGCCAAGTCTCTGAGTCATACAGAAGCACTGACTTGACGTTGGTGTTGAAAATATGGATGTTGTTCCACATCCTGAGTACAGGATAATGAACACCTATCTTGCCTTTCCGATTCTCACTTCGACATCCTTGTCTGTGCCACCTGTAGTTGAGACAGTGCTGCCCGGATAAGTGAAAGAGGCTACTTTCTGTAAGTTTCTCCCATTCATGATGATTGGAGCTTGTTGTTGTTGTTGGTGGCACTGGTTGGGTGTCTTCATCACCTCTGTCTTCCCTACATTCACTTGAAGTTCCGTCTTCGCTCTCCCCTACCTCTCCTGTCAACCTATTAGTTTTCGCCTGTAGATCTTCCAGTTTCTGCAACATCAGACACAAGTCATCACTGGCGAAATCCAAATCTTCTAGATTCTTTTCCCTGGTCCAGCCAGCGTATCCCCTTCTTCTTGCTCCTCACTGTTTGTTGCATGACCCAGTCCACCACGATCAGGAATATCATGGGTGATAGTAGGCGGCAGCCTTGTTTTACTCCTGTTTTCACTTCAAAGTCATCACTGAGCTTCCCATTGTGAATTTCACATGGTAGAAGATAAAAAACGAAGTTATATCATCAAAAAAAGAGACGTAACTTGAGTGATACCATAACATTTCTGGGTTTCAAGTAATTTACACAAACATGTCGATCAGATATTATATTTTGTAGTTGAGAAGCTAGGCAGTGTGATACGAAATTAGGTGATATAATATGTCTTTCAAAGTTAATACAATTGCATGTATTATACTGTCGTTGATTGAACCGAATTGATCGGTCTTTATTGGCATATTAGCTTCTGTGTGGATGTCTCGATATTGCCTGCGTTTTTAACTACCTATAGTTACGATGGATGGTAGTTAGCAGTGGAATCCAGGATGCATATTTCGTCCGATTTGGGACTCGTCAGTTGGATGTACCTGCCTCTCAGTAAGCAATGTTGTTCCCAATGGGATCCTAACTCGAAACCGATCACTTCAAACGTCAGAGCGTTATCCACTACACCACTGGGCCACGATACCCACTTCTTGTGCAACGGGTATAGTTTTAGTATAATTGTTTGTATTATCAAGGCACCTACACAGGAACCTATATGCCAATAGAGACCGATTAATTTGGTTCAATCAACGGCAGTATAATACAAGCAATCATACTAAAACTATACCCGTTGCACAAGAAGTGGACATCGTGGCTTAATAGTGTAGTGGACAACGCTCTGACGTTTGAAGTGATCGCGGTGGGAACAACATAGCTCACTAGGAGGCAGGTACATTCAGCTGACTAGTCCCAACTTGGACGAAATCCGCATCCTGGATTCTACCACCATCCCCCGCCCATCATTGCTATATGTCTTCCAAGGCTATTTAAGAAAACGCATCGATGCCCCCAGTACTAGGTACAGTTAATGCACCTATATACACTTCTAGGCATTAAACTGACTTATGCAATTGGCTGTGATGTATAGATGTATGAACGCATGATGTAAGGGTGAAAATCTACCGATAGCTGTAAAAGTATTTAAACAGGAAGGAGTACTTCCAATAAGCTATCAAAAGCCTTCAACATATGAGACACTTTTTAACCCGAATGGTTGAATAAGTGTTCAAGAGTTCAATTCATTTAACTGCGTGACATGGGTACACAGAAACTGGTTAATACATAAGAATAGAAAAAGATATAAGTCTCTTATTGTTTCTAGTCATTTTCTGCTTTCTACTATCCACCTTCATTACCAAGCTATTGTGGTTATGTTATTTGTGTTATTCACTGATCATTCTCGGTAAGCATACTTTTTCTCGCCTAATCACGCAAGTTCTTCTTGCTTGAGTTTAATCCTATGTTATTTATTCGAGAGCAAATCACCCCATGTTGTTGACTGATACTTGCATCTTCCCATTAGTAATTATACTTGACTTAATCAATTAGTCTCCTTTGACATGTCAGTTCCTGTGAGGATCCAGTTTCGATATCATTTTAATCTAAATTAACATCAACTTCACGAAATATTTGCTGCGCTTCATGTTTACTACTTGTTTGCTTTATTAAGTAGTATAGTGATAAAAACTAAAAATGCAAATAATGGTCTTGTTACCTTCAATATACGCTCCTACTTGTCAGAAAAGTGTTATACCTGAGTTTCAAACCTACACCAACTAGTTGTGAATCCACAGATGTGACGATTAGGTTAGGTACAATAATCGGTTAGTGGACAGTAAGCAACTTCAGAATTTAGAACTAGAATACATAAACTTGGTTACCCTCCAGTAACAAAACAGTGTATAAAACTCTGCTTCGATTAAAACCAAAAGGTGGTTTTTCATGAATATTCGAGTAATTCGATTGTATCTTGGAGGTGGTCAACTATTTTAGTCTATGAAACCATTGATATCGAAGGGGATTGGATGGAAATTGACATTTTCAGTCATCAACTATCAAAGCATAAGTTTTTGTATTTCAGTTTTGGTAAGGAAAAACCTGATTGGACAATTTTATCCTACCATTGACCAATCAAAATAGGTTATTAATCTTTTGACCTAATAGTCATGAAAACTGTATATAAATAATGTACTTTTGGGGAATAAATTATCTTTATTACAATCACAGACCGGTCATTGCTTTCTGATTTTCGTGGCTCAGTGAAGAACAAGGTTCTGGGAGAGAATAGTTGCTACATATATCCAGTACAAGTGTCTTATCATGTTAGCATCGCTCGTGTTCACTCATTCACTTCACGCACCAGTGCGAGGAACTTTGACAGATATAAGTTGGTTGGAGGTAATCAGTAGGAAGCCTTACTTAAATTTTGTGCTTGTTGGCACTCGTCATCAAGGTATATCTTCCATGTCAAACATAGTTGCTATGATGTGTTGGAGAATCGCTGTGTATCAGATAAGAAGGAAAATTATAAATATTTACCTACCTTTGCTTCACTATTCGGTAGTAACATCTTTTCTGAAACCTTATCTTTTCGTCTTTCATGAACCACTTCAATGGATTCTGTGGATAACCTGGATCTTCAATCATTCCTGATTTTCGAATATAAACAAATACATCATCCATAATAGCTAAAGGTAATGAATGAAATGTTGTTTTACTTTTATTCGTTAACATTGCAGGCCAAATAATTAAACTATTAATTGGGATAGTAATGTTAGTTGATTGCTGTCCTTCTTCAACTATTGGTCGTACTGAAACAGCAGGATCCCAGACATACGGTAATCCATAAGAAGATATTCGAAGTTGATTTTTTGGAACAGTATGTGCACTGATTGTACTTCCATCAGATAGAATAAGGTTGATAACAAGTAGATGAATTGGGCAAACTGCTGAAGATACTGATGGCCTCATTGTATGCATTATTCTAGCAGCATTTTGATTTGTTTGAATTAGCTTGAATTTAAAAGATTGAGGATGTCTGATGGTAGAAGAAGCGGCTGCTGTGACTAGATTACTACTTTTCAAACTTCTTCCAATTAGGTGAATGTTAAGTCGATGAGGATTAGGCAGACTGTAATCCTGAATTTTTGTTATCGGTATACCATATTCTCTGCCATCAAGTATGTCAGAGGATAATTTTTTGTATGAATCATATGAAACGGTTTCTAATCCTAAATCATAATTATGAGTAGCCGCTGCTGGATTAAGACTACCAGAGAGCTCCAAAGAGGAATCCTGAAATAAAGTCAATGTATAAAATGAAATAGGTTACTCAAAACTTCCTTTATAAATTTTACACTACTGGAAATATGTAAGTAGTCAGATTTTGGGCTCAAAAAGTAAAATGCTTAGCGTTGGTTTTCAAGTTGGAATTGAATCATTCAATGTGACGCTGAAAACCATCGGGATATATTTCAGATTTGTTACTCATTATTATGAAAACACTCAAGTGAACAGAGGACCCTTTATAAAAGAGAATTGAAAAGTTTTCATCCTTGTGAAGAATATAAAACCCTTACTGCTGAAATTTCCACAATGAAAATGTTACTTCAGTAATCGGATTTCAATATCCTTATGTAAATTATCCTACCATCGACGGTACTGCACGGCAGGTACTAAACCCTGCAGATGATTTGAGATCAGTTGTATATGAATTCAACTTCAATCTTTTATCAGAAACTGTTTCAAATGCCTTGATCCAAATGAATATGACACTTATTTTGTGAGTCAACCATAAACTTTTAGAGTTGTATTGAAATAATAACATAGGAATCGAACTTATGCACTGTAGTAGAATGTAATTCCACTTTAGTTGATTTATAAGATGTATTTCACAGTTGAACAGTATTTTTTTTACTGGACTATGTTTTGGAGACAAACTACACTGATTTCAGATTAGTGAAAGTCTGTCACGCTTTTCCGATCCTAGTTTTGACATCCTCATCTGTGCCTGTGCCACCTGTAGTTGAAACGATGCTGCCTAGATAGGTGAAAGAGACTACTTCCTTTAAGTTTCTCCCGTTGATGGTGATTGGTGTTTGTTGTTCACTCGAAGTCCCGTCTTCGCTGCCTCTTCGCACAGTAAGGAAAGGGTGTAAAAATAAGAATGTCCTGCAGTAAGATGACATATCTGTCCATTGCTCTCAGGTTTTCAATACTTCTCCAACTCATCTCAGCCCATCATCAGTACCATCCCATAAACCTTAAGCTAAATTATTGCCTAGTGTTCATCAGTGACACGTATTGAGATAGATATCCCAAATTTCCAAAAAGAAATCGTGACCAGTTAGTGAAGACCTGAGGATCAATGACAGTTGCACTATACTGAGACTATATACCATCGACTTATGAACCATTGGCTGAATGGTTAATATGCGCGCCACAAAAATTGAAGGTTCTAGGTTCGACCTCTAACTGGGTCCAAGGTCTGTACTGTCAGGGGTTCTTATTCATCATCCCATGGGATCTAATCGATGAACAATTGACCTTCAAGTCAGGGAAACACCTAAATTGAATGTTTAAAAACAAATTTTTATTATCTTACGCATTAAAATTAGAAGGAACATAATTTAGTCCAAATATCAATAATGAAAAACCTAATTTGGAATACATCAAAATCAGCTTCTACTCATTTACATATTTGAAAAAAAAATGCATAAAATTTCTTTTTTTTATTTTATGTACTCAAATGTATGAAATTAGTGACAAAACAAAAAAGAGGATAAGAAAAATACTACTGTAGTAGGCGTTGCTCATAAGGATGGATATAAGTAGTATATGTTGAGAGGGTGGCTTAAGACAGCGAGAGACGCCACAGGAAAATTATCACGATGGGTATTACGACTACAAGAGTACGATTTGACAGTCGGCCATGTGGTAGGGAAAGAAAACTGGTTTGGAGACCTCCTATGAAGATCAGACGAAGAAAATGAACTACCGGAGATCGCATATGGTGTACATGCAGTGGAACGGGACCCATTAGGACTTGTTCGCCTTCAGAAGTCAGACCTCACACTTAAAGAAGTGATAAAAGCCATAACTAAAGGAATGGAGACACAAACGTCTGTGGAAAATGAAGAAATGAGAAAGTTGTTGACGCAGAAGGAACGTCTACAGATGAATACTTATGAAATGCTGATGTGGCGAGAAAATGATGGGAGCTGTTGGTTGGCAGTGATTCCGAAATGCCTACGCGACAAAATGATACAAGAATGTCAACAGTTAGCTCACACAGGTGTCTCATGGATAGCCGACCTTCTCAGACAAAGTGTATACTGGCCAGGTATGAAAGGTGTCGCCAAACACCTGCTGGGTTGTCCTCATTGTCAACCCATGAAAGATTATAGGTATGTACGACCACCGCTTCAGTCGATTCCAGTGGAGACAACTGGTGGTCTGTGGACGTAATGGGACCATTTCCTCAGACATTTAATGGCAACCAATACTTGTTGATAATGACGGAGCATGCTACACGATGGGTAGACGCTGTCGCAATTCCGTACCAAAGTGCGAAGACAGTGACTGCAGCGGTGATGCGGCATATTGTCGCAGATCACGATGTGCCGAAAATGATACTGACCGACTAAGGTCTTTGTTTTGAGGGTGAAGAATTCATATCCTGCTTGGAGCAGCTTGATATCAAGAGGATAAGAACGACGCCGTTACCACCCGCAGACTAACGATTTGACAGGACAGAATAACCGTACACTGAAGGAGTGGTTGGCTTCGAAAGGAGGAAATTGCGAGAAGGAACTGCCGTTAATATTATTAGCTCGTGGTACCTAGGTACAAGGAACAACCAAGAAGTCGTCGTTCTAGTTAATGTATAGCAGGCCCTAACAATAGCCATGGAACATGACTAGATTAAGAAATGAAGATTGTACCTCCTCGGTCAACGATTCCATATTGAAACTTACCACAAAACTCTTCTGCTTCCTTCTTGATTTCCTCTTCATACGCCTGCTTTGTCTTTTACATTTTTCTTGATGGAATACTTACCCATTGCTGGTAATTCTCTATGATTTCTGACAACTTCTCAACATATACCACTTATATTCGTTATTATCAGCAACGCCCGCATCCTTGTCTTCGACTGTTTCGAAAGTGTAACAACCTCCAAGATACTAGTGTGACTAGCAAAAGATCTATCTATAGTGTAAAAGATAAGGCGTTCATTAACCTGAAACCAGTGTGAAGATCTCCTCCACTCCACTCCACTGCACTCACCATAAAGCATGAACAACATACGGATTCTCAACACCAATTCAGTCAAGTCAGTGCTTCTATATCATGGTTGAGAGACTTAGCGCATCACGAAAAGCATTTCCAACAATCTACAGACATTCATCAACAACTGCTGCTTACTCTCGTTACTCAAGCTCAGATAGCCAAAATAATAAGCAACAAAGAAGTGTGTGAACGAACCAACGAGGCAAGAACCTATCGCTGAACAAATATGCAGAGGAGGGAAGTTGAGATGGATTGGTTATACACTGAGAAAGCTAACTGGAGACATCACACTCCAGACTAATCACTCGAGTGGAGCCCAGGTGGGAAACGATGAGTTGGGCGTCTGAGGTGAGGGTGACATGGAGGAGATCGTGTGAGGAAGGAATGAGAGCTTCTGGGCTGTCGTTGATCCATGTTAAAAAGATTGCAGAGAACAGAGTGTAATGGAGACGTGCTACTGAATCTCTATGTTCCATTAGGAACCCAAGAGACAAATAATAATAATAATAATAATAATTGTATGTATGTTGGTAAAGCTTTAGAAGAAAAGAATAGAATGGTATACAAGATAAACTGAGAAAGAAAAAAAACAACCCGACATCATTGTATAATAAGTACACATATATCTTCCGGATTTTCTCAATAACAACAAAAAAAACACCATGAAAAAATTTAGAAAATAAAAATAGACAGAAAAAAGAAGAACCGCATATATCTGTCATAAATAAAACTTAATTTACATAGATTTAAAGAGAAAAACTAAGGACCGAAATCAAAAATATATAAAAATCTTTTTTTCCCCCCCTTGCTTTTCATCATTTCAATTTCTTTACAATAAAAATTTTCCTTCTTCCTGTTTTTCTTTTTTTCTTTTCTTTTCTTTTCCAATTTCAGTTCTTTTTTACTTTTTTTTTTTACAAATTAACTAATTTTGCAAAATATTTGAATGTTGAACAATGTTGACAGAATTTGTAAAAATTAAGAAGTGAAGAAGATGAGAATAGAATGAAAAAGATTTTATAAATTTTTTGTTTTTACAGCGAAAAATCCATCTATGAGCTACTAACAAGGGAAAATATCAATATATTGGGTAAAATTATTGATTTCTGATTGAAACTAATCATAGACTAATATATCAGTTGGATAACCATCGGAAACGTGTAAGTCTTGGATGACTTTTTCATTCTAGTATGAGAATCGTTAGCAGTTTTCACCGATAAACTCTTCATGGATCGAATACAGGACTTTGACGCTTCGCAACCAGTTCATATTTCTTACATCTGTTAGTTCATGAAATAGCCTAACGTCTATCTGATATCGTCAGTGAGTAACTATCTTCCCATACGACTGGTCATAACATAATGAGATATCAAATTGCCAATTGTTAAATTGGCAGATACTTTCCGATGGGAAAGAAAAAGCAATAATACACACACCTTGAACACTGACTAAGGATGAATGCAGAATAGACAAATAGGAAAAGAAGCCTTGACCTTAGTCTTCATTGCATATCTTTTCCACAAGCTCGTCTATGATAGGAAACTCAAGTTATTGACCAACCATACAACTCTGCTAGTCGGGGATTTCGGCTCATTCCACGAACCGTCTACATTTATGGGATTTAGTGTGACTTGAATGTGGTTTTGAGATTAAATATTGACGTACTTGTGAATTTAACTAGGCAGCTGCTTTTTTCCACACCGAGAGAACATACACACATGGCAGCAGTTTCTACAGAGGATCCTGTGGTGATATTCAGATAGCGACGTGAGAAAACAATCACTTACAGCGAGTTATACGTTGTGTTCTCAATCGTTGGTCTATCGAACAGCTTGGTAGTAACCTAAAACAGTTTTACCGCCGACGAATATCTCTATGTTTTCTGAATGGTTGTCTTATATTCGAAGATCGAGTCGTCGTCCCTTCATTGCTTCAAAATCAAACCTTTCGCCAGTTTAACTCTGGTCATCTAGGTATCGGATGCATTAAATCAACTTCTCTCTTCTATTTTTTCTGGTCGTGGATAGACTATCAAATCGAAGACTATGTGAATAGATGTATGGCACGACTACTATACCAATCTCTTGACCACAACCTGAACACCTATATATGGGTGTTCACACTGACTTCACTGGACCACTTGACAGAAATCATTGTGTAACTATGATCGACGCTTACTCAAAACAACCAGAATCCACTCTTGTCAGCTCACCAACCACCACGTCAACTTTATAAGTGTCCGCTAATATTTTCTGCTACCATGATTTGCCTGAAACTACAGTTACCGAAAACGGTCCTCAGTTTACATCCACACAGTTAGAAGATTTTGGCATTCGACATACCATTTAGAATATACTATCCCTACCATATCATCCTTATCCTAATGGCCAAGCAGAACAATTTGTGGACACGTTGATTAGAAGTGTCGACTTAGTAATTAGGTTGAAAGCATTTTTCAATAAGACTTCGGACGCTTCGGTATCAGTATGCATAGCATATTGGCATCTTCGAAATTCAACTTGTCTGCAACTTTCAAACTTCTGAAGTAAACTATTACAGACAGTAGCCTGAGATATCTTACTGCGTGATATGAAATCATTCGTAACAGGCATTATCGACGTATCGCCTATTAAAGAAGTTCATATCCTCAATTTGTAACATTTCACAACAGCACACAAGACAGAAGGGGATCAATCAGAAGGAATGACAGGGAAACTGAAAAAAATTGATTGAGAAGAAATGGCAAAGGTTTTGGAGACAAGCTAAAGTGTATCCATCTTAACCGTTGGGAATTGAAGCTATATCACTCACAGTCTGAAACCATTGGCTTCGATAATCATGAGAACACTAGTCAAACATATCAGGCCAACAGTCAGATACTTCGGGGTAGTTTTACTATGTCTTGGTCTGACCAGCCTTACCATTCTTACAAATCAATTCAACTTGAACACTGAACATCCAAACTGTGATATAATCTAGTCCTATATTAAATTTATTGATTTAGTATTGCTCACAATGATAGGCCATCATTTGTTAGGTGTCACTTTAGATACGAGTTCTGGTCAGTAATATTCAACGTAGAGAGTGATTCGCTTTATGAACACTTATCTTAGCGGACTTAATTAGTAAAGATTCACGAACTGACAAACTGACTTGCCTTTTTTGTCTAGTAATAAGCTCTCGGCCTCAATACCATGTTGGTTACACCACACACCAGTAATGTTATGAAGGTCATCATAAGACTCTTCCCTTCATTAATATCTTCACCTAACAAGACTCTGAGTTGGATACAGGTGTTAAAATGTTCATATACTTTTTTCAAGGACGGAGATAAGAAACTGGTGATTAAGGTAATGTAGGTATCAGGTGGTATATAGGAATCAGAGGTAATGCCATCAGACTGGTTCAAGTTATTCACCATCCCATTATACAAAAAGGGAGAGAAGTCTTCCAGTGATAACCATAAGGAAATCAGTCTAACTAATATTGTGTCAAGGACCGTAGGGTTCATAGTTATCTGATGCCTAACTCTAGCTTGAGAACAACAAATTCGAGAAAATCAGGCACGTTTCAGGCTTACATGAGGATGTATCGATCACATTTTCAACCTCAGACAAGTTTTGGAACATAAGCATACTTACCGGCCAATGACCAACATTTGCCATATTTCCTAACCTGGAGGAGACATTTGACTCTGTCTGAATTACGTCTAACTTCACAAGGATTAAGCTGCTCTCTGAAGATCATCTGTCTGACTTGAAGTATGTTGATGATACTGTCCTGCAAGGTGGAGATTTCGACAAAATGTCGCCTGCATCACTCACTAGAGAGATATCTGATTATCTATCAAAGGACAAGTATACTGCACTGCAATCCATTCTGTCCTGTGAGATATAGCCGTCAAAAGTAGGAGATATTTAGTGGTTACAGAGTGAATGAATAAATTTTTGAAGAAGCATCCATGAAAAGACTCATTAAAGAAAGAAGTAAATAGATTTTAGCGAAAGGACACCCAGTTTAACAGCAAAATTCCATTGCCTACAAAAACTGTCTATCACTGACCTCTTTCACTATGAGTTCAGGTATAAAATTTAGGCATGTTTTCTAATGAAAAAAGCAGGTAGTTTCGAAACCTTTCTAAGCAAACGGTAAGCTTTGTTAACCAGATTGATATGACCTAAATAGTGGATGCCTACTTTTGTCGACAGAGGCGGAGGTTACTGATTCATTCATATCATGTCGTGCAGAACATACTTAACAGTACTATTCTACTCATAATTTCAGAATCTTGCGAACAACTATTCACTTCAGTTTTATCTTTTCTAAAGACAATCAATCATGGACTTGTCATTTAGAGGAGTAAATTCACTTTCATAATAAAAACAAAAGTCAAAACTTACAATACATTCGGCTTTGATTGCAACTATATCTGGATTATCTGTATAAACTGATCCCGGTTGATTAGATAATTCTGTAAAGTCAATAATATCAATCAATAGAGTTGCAAGTGGTTGAAAATCTCCAAGAGTAGCAACTAAATTCAATTCCACTTTTCCTGGTCGTCGTCCAATTAACTGAGGTTTACCATTAAATACATCATGATATAAATAGGCAGGAGATTCACTGTCTACTACAACAGATGATTGATGAAATTTAGTGGATTTCACAACTAAAGCCCATGAAGGCAGCAATCTAGTTATATCGAATATCATTTCACTTGAACCATCTTCATGTGTATGAAATTGATCAATAGATGATGGTATAGGAAATTGTTGTTTATCCATGAATGATGAACCTAGATAAATACGTTGACCAGTTCCAGGCTTCATTGTATATATTCTATACAAAGAAAATGATTGAGATAAGTGAATATATCTTGAATCAAGTAAGCAATCACAAAAACAGATTAGTAATCACAAGAGTTATGGTATTCAGGGGATTTTTTTAAGAATAACAACAGACTAGAACTGATGCATACTGAAGTAGTCTGTAAATTGTATCTCAGTGTTTTAAATATGCTAATTTCGTGATGATTAGGTATCTGTGGTAGACAGAAGTAATAATGAAGTTTATTATTATATTGTTATTTGTCCCTTGGGTTCCTAATGGAACATACGACTTCAGTAGCACGTCTCCATTACACTCTCTTCTCTGCAAACTGTTCAACCTGGATCAACGACAGCCCAGAAGCTCTCATTCCCTCCTCACATCATCTCCTCCATGTCACTCTCACCTCAGATGCCCAACTCGTCATTTCCCATCTGGGCTCCACTCGAGTGACTGGCCCGGAGTGTGATGTCTCCAGTCAGCTTTCTCAGTGTATAACCAATCCATCTCCACTTCCCTCCACTGCATATTTGTTCAGCGATAGGTTCTTGCCTCGTTGGTTCGTTCACACACTTCTTTGTTGCTTATTATTCTGACTATCTGAGCTTGAGTAACGAGAGTAAGCAGCAGTTGTTGATGAATAACTGCAGATTGTTGGAAATTCTTTTTGTGATACGCTAAGTCTCTCAACCATGATATAGAAGCACTGACTTGACTGAATTGGTGTTGAGAATCCGTATGTTGTTCATGCTTTATGCTGTGTGCAGTGCAGTGGAGTGGAGGAGATCTCCACACTGGTTTCAGGTTAACGAACGCCTGTCTTGCTGTCTTTCCGATACTGGCTGGCTCTGACGTCCTCGTCTGTGCCACCGCAGACTGTAGTTGAAACAGTGCTGCCTAGGCAGGTGTAGGTGAAAGAGGCTACTTCCCTTAAGTTTCTCCCGTTAATGGTGATTGGTGCTTGTTGTTGTTATTGCTGTTGTTAGTTGGATATCATCATCACTTCTGTCTTCTCTACATCCACTTGAAGTCCCGTCTTCGCTGCTCTGCCCTGCCCTGCCTCGTCTGTCAACTCAAGTATATCGAGATAGGTAAGAGAATTGACTGACAACTGCTTTATGGTAAGTTTAAGGAAAAGATTCTTGAAACCAACTATTAAAACTTTTCAATTGCATAAAATATAAGTGGACTATAATTTTAATATATATGATTTTAATCACATTCTACAGATATTCATTAACTGCTATTCAGCAATTAGATTCACTCTTCAGGTTAGAAATCAATCAAAAATACACTTTCCTAATATACAGCTAATGAAATGTTAAGCAGAACAATTCACAGGAAACCGAAGTAGAATGCTCAACTGATAAACTTTCATAGTTAGGTACCAATAAGTTGCAAACATGATCTGATCATATCTCTTGCCATTTGTATTAGAAAAGTCTACATTACCATTTCTGTTCTTAGGAGTATCCTGATTGAAAATGGATTCTTACCACGCTTAATCAACAAAAGTATCAGGCGAAAACCTCGTAAGGAAAACCATGCCATATAAATCTCAAAGATGATTTTATCACTAACACTCTAAAGAGGAAGACATCAAACTCTCGAAGGTGAACATCTTTTGTGTCAACGCTGAGATTAGTATTCTCTTTTCACCCAATGTTTTCGAACAACTCAACGAAAAAAAAATCGAACTTAACCATTTCAATGTACCCAAATCGATACAGATGTTCTTGTAGATGCGACTGTTATCTAATATGTTTCAGGAGTACTATCCCACGGGATTACAAAGAGGTTACAGTGGAGCTACAAGAAGTGCTATCGTTTAACAAATCATGAACATGGATCACTCTATCTCAAGAACCTCCTCATTCAAAGTCATCTATAAAGTGAAAAAAACTTAATTGCATCATCAAAGCTCTTGACCTGAACTCTGCGTACAAAAAAAGAAGACTGAGAATGAAATCTCCGGAAGGAGACTCTTTGCTGAAAAACTTTTTCTTTTTCTATATCCTGAAAGGTATCTGTTGGACACCTTCAAACTAGTAACAAGTCTACGATAGTAAAGCAAGTCAATGGGTTTCTACGTTATTCTGTTGAGGTTGCTAAAGTAAATTCAAAGGTGTGAAATTTGTCAGTGAAAATATGAGAGTGAAACAAGAAGACCATAGAAAACAGTCATTGTATATCTTAACTAAATCGAGGATAATTTAGGTACGCATAAATCGATAAGTTTCGATTTGTCGAAGGAATTAAAGGGTCAAACGAATATATATATATAAAGAGAAGAAGTTACTCAACAATAGAAGAATTACGCAAATAAATGAATAATCAGGAAACTTTACAGCAACTATGATCCGAACTCATTAGAAAGTAAGTAGGGTATAATGTAAGAGAAATAACAGGGCAAAGGGAGATTAAACATAGCCTCTTTACATGACTGACTTGAGAAAGGTACTTATCTGCGCAGTGCACAGCTTCTTTTCGATGCACTCTCTGTCCGTTTGTTTCTTCTTTGTGATCTGTGATTTATCTTAAATTTCATATGAATAATGACTGAAATTCATTTTGGAGGTTTGTACAAATATTACTGATTTTAAGTTAGTGTCCATTGCAGACTGATATCACTTGGAGAACCCTTGAAGACCTAGGCGCGCTGGATAGTTATTTCGTCCAAGCATGAGACTTGTCCGTAGTGTTTACCCATCAACACTTCAAGGATGAAACACAGTACCTTCAGGTTTCACAACAAACATGTTACCAATAAGCCAGTGAGTAGAATTCATATCTTCCACACTCTCCTACTTCTATTGGTTTGCGGTATACCACAACTATCATCCAACGCTATCCTTCAGTATCAGTCCTCACAACCGACCTTGTTTACCCACTGGTCATGACTTGTCACTAAAACTTCAAGAAATCTTATCACAGACCAGGTCAATAATCAACGCTGATGTAACGTGCTCACCACGGAACTTGTAGGTCCTAGATTCAATCCTTGGCGAGGTCATGGGTACATTTTACAATGTGCCTATCACCATAATGCACTGGAGTAAGCGTCAGTCAGACGGAGGTAATCGGCAAGAATCCATTGGTGGTCAGACTGCAAAATGACCCATGGAATCCGATCAGCATATAAGAATAGACAATATAAGGTCAGTTGTTTTCTATTGACCAGTCTTGGTATTAGTAAAGGACGACATCAAAGCAATGTTATGCTTTATACTTGATGATATTATGATCCGCTTTAAGTTTCTCTTGTAGTCACCTGTTTGTTCATAAGGAAACTGAAAAACAATCACCGCGGAAACGAATTTCACAGTAGTGCAATCACAATATGCTAAAGTGATCACACAGAACTTAAGTTCTTGCACTACATTTCGATTGAATACGAGTCAGGTGATATGTTAGTTGGATGGAGGCAATCGACAGGAAGCTCGTGTTTGTTGGCACTCATCAGCAAGGCGTGTCTGCAACCTCGACGGAACTAACTTCCTGGGTGTAATTCGAGACCGCGCCACCCAGTGAGCGATTTGGGCCGCGACTGAACTCCCGTAGGACTGGACTAGATACACTAATTGGCCACTGGAAGATACCCAACTTTATGTCTCAAGTAGGATACCAGTTTCGTCGAGGTTGCAGATGCATCTTGCTGACGAGTGTCGACATGAACGAAACCTAGATCCAGGGCTTCCCGCCAACTGCCTCTATCTAACTAACACCTTTGAAAGTGCATCACGATGCTGAGCTACCTAGTCAGGTGACCACATTGCAAAATGATCGACAGAATTCTGTCAACACATAGGATTAGACAACATAAAGTTAGTAACCAATCAATGTACTCAGCTTATATGCAACAGCGTCACAGTTATTTATGAAAACACAATTATTACAAGTTAGTATCCATCAGAGACTGATATCAGTTCGAGAACTACTGAAAATCTGAGAGTACTGGGCAGGCGTTTCGTTCTGAGGAGCAACTTTTCAGTAGTGCGCAGACAGGACATTCATATATCACGACAACCACGTTGCTATTCAGCGGTCTACACAAACGTATTTCATGTCAATCCATGATATATCCGTAAAATCATGTAACTACATTGCTGAGCATTAGTTATCACAAGCGACCTATTTGACCATACAAATCACAACCTTTTAATTACAGACTGTAATCTTTCGACTGACTATTATTGTTATCATAATTAATATTATTATTATTTGTCTCTTAGGTTCCGAGGAAAACATAGAGATTCAGTAGCACACAGCCATCCCACTCTCTTCTCTACAGTCTTATCAACCTCACTCCATCACTGACCACAAGCTCTCATGTCTTCCTCACATCATCTCCTCCATGTCATCCTCACATCAGACGCCCAACTCGTCGTCTCCCATCTGGGTTCCACTCGAGTGCCTGGCCTCACGCGTCATGTCCCCAATCACCTTTCTCAGTGTATACCCAATCCATCTCAACTTCCTTACACTGCATAGTTTTTGAGCGACAACTTCTTGCTTCGTTAGTTTTCAGAATTGCTTGTCGCTTATTCTTATTATTATTCTGGCCATCTCAGCTTCAATAACGAGCCAGCGTAGGCAGTTATTGATGAATATCTGCAGACTGTTTGAAATGCCTTTCGTGACGCACCAAGTGTCTCAACCATCACATAGAAACACTGACTTGACTGAATTAGTGTTGAAAATCTGGATGTTGTTCACGCTACATGCTGAGTGCAGTGCAATGCAGTAGATCTCCACACTGATTTCAGATTAATGAAGGGAGGCCTGTCTTGCTGTCTTTCCGATCCTGGTTTTGACGTCGTCATCTGTGCCGCTGACTGTAGTTGAAACGATGCTGCCATAGTAGGTGAACGAGACAACTTCGCTTAAGCTTCTCCCATTGATAGTGATTGTTGCTTGTTGTTGATGCTGTTGGCTGGGCATCTTCATCACCTCTGTCTTCCCTACATTCACTTGAAGTCCCGTCTTCGCTGCCCCCTACCTCTCCTGTCAACCTGTTAGTTTTCGCTTGTAGATGTTCGAGTTTGTGCGACATTAGACACAAGTCATCACTGGCGGAATCCAAATCTCCTATGATCTTTTCCCTAGTCAAGCCAGCGTATCCCCCTCTTCTTGCTCCTCACGGTTTGTTGCATGATCCAATCCGCCACAATCAGGAAGATGATCGATGATAGTAGGTGTCAGCCTCGTCTAACTCTTGTCTTCACTCGAAAGGCGTCACTGAGCTTTCCATTGTGAATTACTTGGCATGTGGCGTCTTCATATAATTCTTGAATGAAGTTGATGAAGGTTTGTGGCATTCCGTAGTGTTGAAGCAGCTGCCTGCCAAATTACTTGTCGGTCGACGCTGTCGAAGGCCTTTTCAAAGTTGATGAAGTTGAAGTAGAGAGAGAGAGAGAGAGAGAGAGAGAGAGAGAGAGAGAGAGAGAGTTGACTGCCATTCTATACTCTGTTCTATGATGATGCGTCACGTAGCGTTGCAATTTGATCCGCATATGATTTGTACTTCCTAAATCCAGCCTATTCCTGTCGTCAATTGACCAATTAAACCAAATTTATAAAGATTTCTCTTCGATGGAACATGGAAGCTTCAATCTTTGATTAGCGATAGCAGCATCATTATGTTTCAGTTGGAAAAAAAAACTAGTTTATGACTTTCATGATAAAAATTATCAAAGTTTTATCCACAGGAAATCTATTGTTATCTCATGGTACCAATAAAATTTTTCACTGAGCTGATTATATCAGTTCATTCATTCTACAAGTGTTACCATTCTAAAATTTACTCAATAATGTTCTCACAAAAAACGTTGTTTTTTTTATTGTTGAAATATGCGATTAGACAATAGTGTAAACAATCCATTTAAGGTGAATGAACAAACAGTCATAACAAAGAAATTTATCTAGACTAGAGTATAAAAAGTATCTAAGTCTCTGATGTATAGACGTATGTTGTATATATACATATATATGACTGTATCGGTAGGAATGTAACATTGATGTTGAAAACAATACTAAACTCATTCTATCAACTAATGAAACATGATAAAACCTGAAGTTATATTCATATTTGTTAAGATAACAGTATAAATAATACGCAAAGTCAGCATACTGGTGTCAACTAAGTATTGAATAGAAAATTATGCCTTAGTTACCAATATTTAGTGAACAGGGCGATCTCATTGACAATCACAATAAATGAATACTGAGTACATATTAGTATGATTGTTTTTATATGATACCGTCGTTGATTGGACCGAATTCATCGGTCTCTGCTGCCATATGGGATCCTGTGCGGATGCTTCGATATTACCTGTGCTCTTATGGTAGTAATGATAGATCGTGGCTAGTAGTGGAATCCAGGATGCGCACTTCATTCTATTTGGGACTCTTCAGCTGGATGTACCTGCCGGCTCCCAGTGAGTGATGTTGTTCCCACTGGGATTCGGACTCGGGAGCGACCGCTTCAAATGCCAGGGCGTTGTCCAATACACCACCGAGCCACGACAACCAAACAGGACGAAGTGCGCATCCTAGATTCCACTGCTAGCCATGATCCATCATTAACATAATTAGAAGACTGGTTATATCGAGGCATCCGCACAGCACCCCATATACCAATAGAGACCGATCAATTCGGTCCAATCAATGACGGTATGATATAAAAACTATACCCATCTCACAAGAAGTGGCTATCGTGGCTCAGTGGTGTATTGGACAACGCCCTGGCATTTGAAGCGGTCGCTCCCGAGTCCGAATCCCAGTGGGAACAACATCACTCACTGGGAGCCGGCAGGCACATCCAGCTGACGAGTCCCAAATAGAGCGAAGTGCGCATCCTGGATTCCACTACTAGCCACGATCCATCATTAACTGAGTAGATATGTTAAAAATCTTAGGTATCAGATAATCTTTGGATCTATGATTACAAATTACAACCAATATATTTTATTTCAATCGGCTTGCTTTTGGTTAGCAATACGTTTCGTCTTATTTGGGACCTAGTCGTCAGCTGGAAGTACCTACACTACAGTAAGTGATGTCGTTCCTCGTACCCATCTCTTCAAACGCCAAAGCGTTATTCAATAGGTGAATGAAACACTTTAGTCAAGGGTGCACACACCTAAGGTCTTTATGAGTAAGGCTTCCTATGTACTGGTGGAATTATTTGGAAATAACACTTAGTTCGTAAAGTATACTAATTTTTCTTGGATTTCGGTTCTTCCCTCCCTTTGCTATACTGGATCGAATTGATCGACATCTTTTGGTATATAAGCTCTTGAAATTGCCTGAATGTTCACTGTTATAATTCCCCACGTCAGTTGGATACTAGCGCCCAACTCGAACATACAATCCATTCTGGTAAAAGATTAATCGGAAGCTGAATTGCTAGGTGATGAAGTCTCTGACCTCAGGACTGAGTGGCGTAGGCCTGAATCCACGAGAGATGCGATTTTCCTCATTGTTCCAGATATTCTTTGCTGTCGAATGCCAAGAAGCGCGAAACTTAGGTCAGATAGAACTTCTTGCCAAAAGACTTCCACAGTTTAACACCAAGATTACATTAGCAGTCGTTATGATTCAGTAAATAGTATCTCTGAAGTAAAGACAGGAGTAAAACAAGGCTGACACCTACTATCACCGATGATCTTGACTGCGGTCGACTGAATCATGCAACAAATCGTGAGGAGCGAGAAGAGGGGGATACGTTGGACGGGGTAAAGATTCTAAAAGATTTGGATTTCACCGATGACTTGCGTCTAACGTCTTGCCGCACAAATTAGCAGGCAAAAACTAATAAGTTGACATAAAAAACAGGGCAGGGTAGCGAAGATGGGACTTAAAGTGAATGCAGAGAAGACGGAGGTGATGAAGATACGCAGCCAACAACAGTATGAACAACAAGCACCAATCACCATAAATGGGAGAAACGTAAAGGAAGTAGTCTCTCACCTACACCTACTATGGCAGCACCGTTCCAACTACAGGCAGCGGCACAAGCACGGACGAGGATGTCGAAACCAGGATCGGAAAAGAAAGATAACTGTTCACAAACCTGAAATCAGTGTGCAGATCTACTGCATTGCACTGCACTCAGCATGTAGCGTGAACAACATCCAGATTTTCAACACTAATTCAGTCAAGTCAGTGTTTCTATGTGATGGTTGAGACACTTGGTGCGTCACGAAAGGCATTTCAAACAATCTGCAGATATTCAACAACAACTGCCTACGCTGACTCGTTATTGAAGCTGAGATGGCCAGAATAATAATAAGAATAAGCGACAAGCAATTCTGAAAACTAACGAAGCAAGAAGTTGTCGCTCAAAAACTATGCAGTGTAAGGAAGTTGAGATGGATTGGGTATACACTGAGAAAGCTGATTGGGGACATGACGCGTGAGGCCAGGCACTCGAGTGGAACCCAGATGGGAGACGACGAGTTGGGCGTCTGATGTGAGGATGACATGGAGGAGATGATGTGAGGAAGACATGAGAGCTTGTGGTCAGTGATGGAGTGAGGTTGATAAGACTGTAGAGAAGAGAGTGGGATGGCTGTGTGCTACTGAATCTCTATGTTCCCCTAGGAACCCAAAGGACAAATAATAATAACCAGTATCTTTATAAAACAAAGATTTTGAATGATCACACCTATGCATAAAATTAGTTAACTATTTCTAGATGGTAAAAATTGATTCTTTGTGAATGAAAGCAGATTGAATTCAGTAAAAACAAGCATATAATCAAAGTGAAATGTTTCATTCGCTTACCTTGCTGTAACTGTAATTAGGGCTTGTTCATAACGATCTTGTCCAGAATCCAACCTGATTTAAAGTAATTTTAACAGGTAAACAAGAATATAGAGATTAAGGAAATATCCAAGTGAATATATACATATGAATAATTGATAAACACCATCCATTTAAGCGTTGATATTAATTAGTACATCTTTCAGTTTGGAGGTTGATGGGGATTTATTCATTGATTTCAACTTGGTATTTATCATAGACTAACATCCATTGAAGAATCATTCAAAGTCGATTGGAACTGAAGAACTCTTTCGTCCTTATACAGGACTCTTCAACAGAAAGGATGTTTTTAGTTGGCTTTTTCACAGCTTAAAGAGGAACAATTAAATGGTGCTGCCTAAGAACGGTTCTCGTTGAATATTTACCCGCTAGCTATCGAGAAGTTTCGATTTGATATCTGCATCTTAAACAGTCTACAAGTTAGAAATTCAACGTAGAACTTCCTACACAAGTGCACTAGTTACAGTTATCACACTTCACAGTAGCATTTGGAGAATAAATGAATATAAAAAGAGAATATTGAATATAGACGAATGTGATCCGTACTACTGTTGTCGATTTTCAGTCAATTTTGCTCACAGTCTCGAACCATTCATTCCAGTCGTCTGGAGAATCACACATAATCCAGAATAACAGTTTTAGACTGCATAACCTAGTGGCAGATCTCAATCTGATGACTTTGTCTTCTACCAAACCGATTTTACTTGATTAAAAATTACATTATAGTGTAGTTGGGAGTTTTGCATGCAGAATACATATCCACGTCATCTTTGTTGGACAGACAAATAAGAACAATGGCAAACGAAATTCGGTGGACCTGTTCTGCTATACTTACACGATTAAAATATTCAATCCAGAGAATACAACACCATCAAACCTGATATATGTCAGACAAGTGTTTTGGATTCAAGGTGAGAAACAGGAAATTAGGAAGTCAGTGGATATTACTATGAATAAGGTCAAGAAATCGACAGGGGATCTGATACGCCGGATGAAGTCATTTCTAGGTGAGTCAAAGTGGTTTAATTTATTGCCGAAAACTAATAATCCCAGTAGAATATATGGTACTATTAGGATTCATAAACCGTGTTATCCCATCAAGCCTATAACAGATTTTAGAAACACTCCGACTTACGACTTGTCTAAATATTTAGCAATGGTGTTAGGCCCAATAAGAAATCACTCAGTCTCAACTTACCAACTCTTATGACTTAAAGCATAGATTAGACGACAGTGAAAAAATGGTTAATTTTGACATAACTGGACTTTACACAAATATACCGATTGACATGGCTCTAGAGGCAGTTAGAAATGGGCTTAAAGATGACAAAGAACTTACGCATCGAACTAAGGTGCCGATTGAGGAAATCATACGATGAGTACGATTGTGCCTAACATCTACAGTTTTACAGTTTCAAAATAAAATATATAAACAAACTGAAGGTGTTGCCGTGGGATCACCAATATCCCCCCCCCTATCATCGCAGACATATTTATGGATAGTTGGGAACAGCTAGCCCTTCAAACATTTAGTCCTACTCCAAACATATGATTCCTATATGTAGATGATACGTTTACAGTACTGAAATCAGAACACATCAATAGGTTCTTGGCACATGTAAATTCAGTGGTGAATGCAATCCAATTTGCCTGTGACTTAGAAGGTGAAGAAGGTGGGCTAGCAATGTTGGATTGCAAGATTAAACGAACACAAGAAAAAAGTTTGCAGACCAGTGTGTATAGGAAACCTACCCATTCGAATCGCTACTTAGACGTTAAATCCTCCCACCGTATTTCAGTCAAAGCAGGCCTAGTTGAATGCCTAAGTGATAGAGCAAAAAGGCTTACTAGTAGGTTGGAAAATCTGCTACAAGAAATTGGACACATGAAGAAAACCGTACGTCTCCATAATTACCCACCAAAATTTATAAATAAATTCATAAGAAATCGAAAGAAAAATATTAGCAGTGGTAGTAATAATAATAATAATCCCACTACTAGTGGCAATAATGGGGACAGGGTTAAGAGAGAATTCAAAGCCTCTGCTGTGTTACCTACCATACAAGGACGGCACCTCAGAAGCACTACGAAGAATTCTCAATAAGGCCAGCTGGGATTAAAGTGGCATTGAAACCAACAAACTCACTTACAAACAAGCTTTGTAGGTTAAAGTTCCTATCGATGCAATTAAGCAAAATAATCTGGTTTACCAGATCCCTTGCAATGATTGTGAGGTCAAGTACATAGGTGAAAGCAGTGGACCAGGCAGGGTCAACTAGAATAACACAGCACAAAAACGCTAAGATAAATCGAGATTAGTAGATCCTAAAAAGATAAGAAATCTAGAGAAAAGCTCGTCTATAGCTCTGCATGCGATGACATACAATCACACAGTAGGATGGGATAGAGCGACAGTGTTGAAGACTAACTTAGTTGGTTGGAGAGAGGAAGAGATTGATAACCGAATCTTTGTTTGTCGAATCAACACCAAATACATTCAGTAAGAGAAATGATTCTGCACCTGTCCCAGATATATAGAAAATTCTGCTACCCTTGTCATCACAGAGAAGAAGAGAAAGCTGGGAATATATAGAATCTGTCTCGAAGTTGTGGAGTGAGTTACCTGATATGAATATGGACAATAAATTGTGTCCACAGGGTATGTTATCCAGTAAATGCTACTGTTTCACTGTGTGATGTTTCTAATAAACAAACTGAAGTGGAAGGTGAGATTTCGTCAACAACTGACAATGTAGGGTCAATTCAACTTCTTAAATAATTGAGGTGCTTAATGTATCTTACTACCTAGATTTTTACTCCTAAACTAAGAATTCGTGTTAATCAACTCACAGTACACAGGTATAAAACGCATACCATAAATACTAAGGTTTTTGCTCGAGGCATTCACAAGACTGTTTTGTTGGGGTTGTTGTTAGACAACATTAACGTAGTACCTTGCACAAAAGTGCATCCCTTCAAGTTGTCACTCCTAACAATAGTATACTAAGAAAGGCAGATAGAATAAAAGTGATATTATAGTCGACAAAGTTGTGTTAGAAAAAAACCATTTGAATATAGAGGTTAGTGAGAATATTTAAGGTTTAGAAGAAGTCAAAGAAGAGAATATGTCCGCGCCGTTGTGACTGATTTTCAGCGATTTCAACAACAGTCTTTAAACACAGTCCTATCGTCTCGGAGACTCCAGTCAGCCAGTCTAGATCTTCCCACATGACTCAGACCAACAGTTAGGGACTTTATCGACTGATATTAAGTCATGATATCGCCATCCTGAATCCTGTTTCTCTGCTTATTCTAAATCAACTCTACTTAAAATAAGTCGATTTATGTGAAGTTTGAAGTACTTAGGATCGTATTCCTTAACATTTCCTTAAAGAAGCTAAAAAGAGACAATAACAATGAGCATTAATGATAGACACCGCTGTTTACCATCAATTCCACCCTAAGTCATTGTAAACTTATACATAATTACTCGATCTCGATTAGCATGAAATACTTGAAGAGTACTTCCTTCCCAGTCAGACACTTTTATAACACCTTTCGATTGACAGAGTTAAATACTGTCCTTAGATTTAGTCTTCAGAGTAAGGGGGAGATATTTTTGACTAGTTATAAACCATAAAATAATCATACATTTTTATATATACTATTATCTCACAATTACAAACTAAATCATTTGTACAAAATGAAACCCTTTTCTTCAACTGCTTTTTATCTCAAGAAATAAACACAACTTAAAAAATTAAAACATTATTTATTGTATTGCCAAAATGGATTTTCATTCAACCTCACATTTTCGTTAATTCATATAAAATCTTAATTGAACCTGCTGAAAAGGATTATATCCAACAGATAACAGTATGAACAACAAGCACTAATCACCATTAACGGGAGAAACCTAAAGCAGGTTGTCTCTTTCACCTACATCTACCTAGACAGCATCGTTTGAACTGAAGACGGCACAGGCACAGACGAGGATGTGAAAGCCAGCCAGGATCGGAAAGACAGCAAGACAGGCCTCCCTTCATTAACCTGAAATCAGTGTGCAGATCTACTGCATTGCACTGCACTCAGCATGTAGCGTAAACAACATCCGGATTTTCAACACTGATTGAGTCAAGCCAGTGCATCTATCTGATTGTTCAGAAATTTGGCGTGTCACCAAAAACATTTCCAATAAACTGCAGACATAAATGATCAACGGCTGCCGCCTACACTCGTTAATGAAGATCAGTTAAGAAGATGAGAAAGAATAAGCAACAAGGAACCATGGGAACGAACCAACCAAGAACCTATCACCCAACAAATGTGCAGAAGATGAAAGTGGAGATGGATTGGATTGGGCATACACTGAGAAGACCATTTGAGGACATCACGCGTCAGGCCAGTTCGTCGAGTGGAATCCAAAGGGGAAACGAAGAGTAGGGGTCCAAAGAGAGGGTGACATGGAAGAGATGGTATGAGAAAGAAATGAAAGCTTCTGGGCAGTGGTGAAGCCAGGTTCAAAGACTTTAGAGAAGAGAGTGGAATAGAAGCGTGCTACTGAATCTCTATGTTCCACTAGGAACCCAATCGAAAAATAAAAAATGATTATATCCGCGAAACAGGTCACAAAAAAAAACAGTGGAAAAAATTAAGAAACATTATGCTTATACATATGCAAGTTATACTTCAAACAAATAAGTAAACAAACATGTAACTAACACAAATTCTTATAACACTTTTGTCAGTAACGAGTTTGTTTATGTTTACCTTCTAGGTGGCTTGTTTAAATGGTGGGCCTTGAATTGTATTTATCTAAATCTAGGGTGCTGTTAAAAGTTATCCCCCTAGTGTTATTTGTACATGTTACAGGTTATTGTATTCTATACTGAAATGCATATTTTTCTGTGTTCTGAAGGCAGATTTTATTTTAACCTATTTCTACAGTTTTTTTTTAAAGGCTACTTATCGTTTTATCATATTTTATAACATCTATTCATTAGCAAAGTATTAAC